GGCCTTTGCCCTGGGTGAGCTTTCTCTCTCGAAGTCTGAATTCTCACAGAACCTGATACTAACTAGATGTCATAGTGTCGGTATTGGTGGTCACGCTCTCCACGGTGGTTTCGGTATGACCTCCCGTATGTGGGGCACTACTCTCGACAATATCGTCGAGATGCAAGTCGTTCTCGCTGACGGCTCCGTTGCCATCACCTCCGCCTCCCAAAACTCCAATCTCTTCTGGGCTCTCCGTGGTGCTGGTTCCTCCTATGGTATTGTCACCTACTTCAAGTTCGCTACCAAGTCGGCCCCCACCGTTGCCACATACTTCCAATACCAATACTACTCTCCCTCTATCGACATCAAGACCAAGACCATCCTCGCTATGCAGGAGTTCGGTAAGGCCATGGCTCCGAAGGAACTTGCTCTCCGCATTTTTTTTAGCAACGATACCTTCCAGGTCTACGGTGTCTACTGGGGCCCTAAGACAAAGTGGGAGAAGGCTATTGCTCCATTGTTGACTCATCTTCCCATTGCTGGTCGTGTCTCTTCAGTCCCTGGTCAGGAGATGGAATGGCTTCCAACTCTCGTTCAGCTCAACAACGGTGGTCAGCTTACGCAGCCATTGAGCTATAATATGCATGACACATTCTTTGCCAAGTCCATTGTTACCCCAGGGATGGGCCACCTTGGTGAGGCTACTCTCAAGAACTTTTTCACCTACCTTGCCACCGACGGACAAAAGGCTCCAGTGAACTGGTGGGTTATGTACGATCTCTACGGAGGTGCCGGGTCCATGATCTCTGCCCCTACATTGTCAGATACTGCGTATGCTCACCGTGATTCTTTGTTTACCATCCAAATCTTCTCCACCCCTCCTGGACAGGCCCCACCTTACCCCGAAAGTGGATACTCATTTGTGGACGGAATTGTGGATTCCATCACGAAGTACCAGAACGAGACCATTTTCAAGGCGTATACCAACTACATTGATCATACCCTCACCAAGGAGCAGGCTTGGGACTTATACTATGGTCAGGAGCAGATGGTTAAGTTAAACAAGGTCAAGGATGCTGTTGATCCCACCAGGGTCTTCTGGAATCCTCAGGCCATAAGAGCTTAATAAAAATGCGTAGATGTTTGGTTTCGGCGGCTAGGGGAAGGATCGGAGGTGATGTCTACTGATAGACATCAAGGGTACATAAAAACTAGCGGTGTTTGGTAAACCTCCTTGTGGTTAGATTTTGGATGTGTATTATGCAAGATGACGAGTGTACGATATGCCCTTATGTCCATTAAAATAAATATTAGGGACCTTGAAACAATTTAGATGCTTCGGTACTGCATGTACTATGTACTACTAGCTTCGTCCGGACAAAACTAATTCTAGCGAAAAACAGCAAGAGTGCAATATGATTCACATCCCCAAACCGGATTGAGCCTCAACCAAGTCGAGGCTAACTAGGAAGTCTGGTTAGCAGGACCCCTCCCGTGCAGGTTAACGGGGGTTGTTGAAATAACTCAAGTCAATACTTCTGTACGTACATACATACGTATCAATAACGATAGATTACAATCCATATGTTCTGGGCCTCTCGCGGGCAGCATATTTACTATGTTTTTTTTCCCATCGCACTCTATTAAATTACTGCATTTGGTACATACGCACTTGAATTAATAAGAATATAGAGATACTGAACTACTTCAAGTTAATCCTAATTGACTGATGGGCAATATAAATGGATCTGCCATGTGAAAGACCATTATAGTAAGTGGTTTTATCTTGCTCCATTAGAAGATAAAATGGTAAGTTAAACTCATTAGTAAAAGCAGTATGATACTAATATTTATTGGTTCGGGGTCTGTTGCATCTGCAATGATATTGTGGTTTCAGCTTTATGGCCCACCTGAAATTTTGCAGTCTGATAATGGTGGAGAATTTGAAGGAGGAGTTTAGCATTTATTATGAGCTTGGGGTATTGAAATTAAACATGGAAAACCTTACAGACCTCAAGTCCAATAGAGTTATACGATTTCGTCTCGCTAATGTGATTGTTCTTTGCCTGAAGATGATCAATGGAATGAAGAGAAAGATGAGAGTATATCGCCGCTTTTAATCCCTCGGTTTCGGTTCTATAGGTGGATATTCTGCTTTACAGTATCGTGGAAATGTGGTTTGAGATCGAATGGCAGAAAGTTAAAACGTCAACACAGTCCATATTTTTGCAGTAGGCGATATGGGTACTGTAGGAAAAGAGAAGACAGAGTCACAAACGACAATAAAAGGTTATATGCAAAAGTTATTGCAAAACCAACACGCCCACCAATTGTTAACCAAGTATTGTAAACTTTGCTAACCTTTATCTAATCAAAGACTTGCAGCCAGCAACTGACCTTATGGGTTTGGAAGATAAAAGTGTGGGTACTCCAGCTACTCGACATTCCACAATCACCTTAGCTAATGCTGCTCGGCAGGCATCTACAACAGCTCGGGTTTATGTCTCATGTTATTGCAAAAAAAGTCCTGTACCTGTCGTCGCTGCCGATGCTTCAAAAAAGGGTTGAAATGCTCAATCTATTGTCATACCAAAGTGTTAGCAGATCATGACTGCGGTAACCTCTCGGCTTTAGCTGAACGGACACAAATTGGACTACTGGATGAATAGCGCAATTGATCGATCTAGAGGATGACTCAATTGACCTGGAGGACAACTAGTAGCTAGCTGTATGTATTTAATATAGCTTTAGTTCAGTATATTTTTATTAGTTCAAGTGCGTATGTACCAAATGCAGTAATTAAATAAATTGCCCGCGAGGGGCACAGTGGGTATATAGTGGATGTGTAGGATGGAAGACAAGATGAAGAGTCATCATCTTAAATAGACCCTAGGCCTTTAATGTATTTCGAAGCTGCATGGATCGGTGCCTATTCCATCAGGCCTACTCCATCCACCATAACTGAAGTAAAGAGTCAACCCTTTGGGGGTAAAATCCAAGTTCTCGTAGGACATGAGGATAACATCACTGTGGAGCTTTGTGACATTTAGCACTTCAATTAGTTCTTGTGCTACTGATAATAGTTATTCATCAGATTCTGAACGCAGGAATTTTTTGAATCCTGACTCCTGCCGAATTTGCTGAAGTATATCTTCGAGGTTTATTCCTTGTGCGAATTGCAGCTTGCTGTCTGCAGACGTTGGCACACGCGCATTGAGGATTTTGTAGAAGGAAATGGTGTGTTCCCGTTAAGGATCATAAGTATCTAGCCAACGTTGGATGTTGCATCATTAGATCCGATATATCACTTCGGTAGTCAAGAAGCTGGTCATTTGTATCACTGCCACCCAACACTTGCAATCGTAGAGCGTCTAATGGGGACTGTTCAACTTCAAAAAGATACAGCAGCCGCAAGAGATGCTTGCTGGTCCTCACGTTCGAAAGGATCTCGAAGTGACCAGAGGCATTAGACGAATGACATCATTCGATAAGGATAAAGCGCTTGACAAATTCTTACTTGAGGGTTAAAAACCAACATTTCTGAAGCAGTTAAAGCCGATTTTATTGTGTGATTATAGGAGCATTTTCAAAGCTCCAACCGACAAACAGCACTGTAATGGTGGTCTCCAAGTCTTGCACATTCATATCGCCTGCCCGAATTTTGTGCAAGAATATGCCGCTCAGTCACGGTGATCCTCTGGGGTTTCTCCCACAGCTGCCTCGGAGTATACAATAGAAGCCTCCAAATCCTAGAGATCTCCACTTCGTTCATATCTGTTGCTTAAATGGTTTCCTTACATTGTTCAACGATTCTGCTCGCACTTCCCCGTTAAGGTGATCCGGACCCACAGCTCCACAGCTGCCTCTGAATGTACAATAGCAGCCTCTAATTCCTCTAAATTTCCAGTTTGCTCATAACGGCTCCTCAAACAGCTTTCAAGATTGTCTAGCCATTCCTGCTCGAGAAGGTTCCTCCATTGGCCATATTATTGCTTCTTCGCATGTGGCGTCTGTGTGTAGGCAATACAAACCTCTAGTCTGGACAAGCCTCTAGGTCCCGCAGCTTCTGTCGTTGGATATATCTTGAATACAAATAACGAGAACACAAAATCAGAATATCCGGATCAGCCAACTGTTCAAAAAGATCTTCAATTCATGCAAATGATGGCTACCTCAAGGAATCTGATATCAGGGGGTTGGGCATATGAAAGCAGCAACTGCAGCTATCTACTTGGCTCGATAATAACAACAGTTTGAGTAGGATATATGCAAGCCGAGTTCGGCGTATTAATGTTGAGAAATCGAAATTTCCTGGCTTCCCTTGATCGGAAGCAAAATTATTGATTCACTTTGCTCCTACCATAGTTCTGGGCCATAAGTCACCGTCCGGAGGCGGCTTTTACACCAAAACTAGGCACTTTCTGATCAATTGTCAAACAACCGAAGCCAGCAAGACAAAAGCTCTACCTTTGAGATTCTTTTCAAAATACTTATTTCCCTCACATACTGAGTTATAAGAGCAGGAGAGAGGTGGTTGCCATTTATCTTCCCATACAATTTGTGAAGTTCTGCACTACACCGAATGAATGTACATACATATAATTTGTAATGTTGGAGATTTTCGATGTTTACTGAATACCGCAAGTGATTCTAGAACAGTGGTAGTGGTGACTTTTGATGATGTTTTGAAAATGGCCAGGTTTACCAAATTTAGCGGGAAATACCAATTCTTTTCAGAGTCTAGATATATCGGTTATCAGCAGACCGAATCTACCGACTCCAGCCGGCCAACATTCTACATTGAATTCTGCGGTTGATATTTGACAACTCCTCAACGCATATGGCAATTCTAGCCTAAGCGCTGACTGATTTGACACGCATCTCATAATATATAATAGCGCGAGAGCGTGTAGCGTTTGGTTCGATTGAGAATCTGATAAATTATTGAATATATTGCCGAATAGTCTGGTTGGCAGGCTGAAATAAACATTGCATCTTCAACTATTTAACTATACCGCGACTGGTTGGCGCAATTGGTAGCGCGTTGGATTCCAACACCCCTTACATGGCATCTCGCTATGCGAGACGAAACAGGGGTATGGAACCTATCCAAAGGTTGGGTGTTCGAGTCACTCATCGGTCACTTTTATTTTTTTTCCCACTGTGGTACAATAAGTTGTACATAGATCCTTTGTTTGTTGATGTGTCTTGGCATGCTTGAGTACTTACCAGTAACATTGAACCTTCTTACCCTGAATCCAGAAGTATGTTATGTACAAGAGCCCGTATGGAATGTGGTCCAAATGTGGAGGGATAATTGAAGAGAGAATCAGAGTTTCGAGTACATCCTAAATGTGTTTGTTTGCAACTGATCTAGAGTCCGCAGATATACTTACATATGTATAGTTCTAGGTCACACGAGGCTGTTCTTACACCCGAGATCTGGAAAGTTGAAACAAAGTACCACCAAGCGGCGTCATACTACACATATACTTACCCTGATTGCAACAGTCGGTTCACAAATCTCGTTTACTTTCAACCTTTTCGCCTTGGAGTGCTTTCTTCCGTCGCCTGCCCGTTGAATTACATAGAGACTTTGACGCTGCACTCTCCCACTGTGTGTGACAGCGAAGTCGATGTACTCGGCATAGGCCCAATAAGTACCACCCTATTTAGACTTAGTACCACCTATTCATTGGAATGTAGGGCAACAAGAACAAATTTCGACATATACTCCAATACAGTGGATGCGATATACGTTAGATATATGCGTACAGTATCATGATACGATCAGCACGCAGATAAGGAGATTGAACCAATGATCCATTCTCAGCCTATAATATGCGCAACCTCAGAATCATTCAATGACATGGTAACGTCGATAGTTAGTAGACTCGTCACTCGTGCCGGTCGATAGTTTTAGGGGACTTGGTCATGAGTGGCCTAGCTGCGCGCATAATAAATCCTCTATGATTTATTAATTTCTCCCATCTGAGCTGCGGCTGGCAGTTGCGCATGCGGTTCCCCTCAGCGAAAAGAAGGTTTGCGCTGCGCATACTGCATATAAGTACTGAATAGGCTGCATTGACATGTAGACTAGTCTATTGTAGACGTCCTTCCGTGACTTGTATAGGCACGAGACTACTTGTATATGCTTCTATACCGAGCCTTGAAGTGCAGACGTTGACGTTGATGTTGACGTTGACGCTATCTTTAGTACATGTCTCTGAACTTGGAGCGTACACTACTGTCTGTTCTCCCTTATCTTTATCAGTTATAACTTATCTTTAGCAGGCAGATTATTGATAAGCCGTGGATAAACTTTGTAAGGTCAACCACCACCCTGTACTCTCTTGGTAACAACCCCTCTCTGTACTAAGTCCTCCACTTCCTAAGTACATAGAATCTAATCACCATAAATTCTTGGCCGCTTCATTCTCTGACCTCGGGTTTTGATCCTTTCTCCTGGAGTATTCCACGCCCCTGTCAAACTAGCCATATGATGGATAACCACCTTGTACTCCGTGCAAGCAGAAGTACCAAGAGAACCTCCTCGAGTGCCACGTATGAACCAGTCTACGCGTATGTATAACACTGTCCATCCTGTAGCACAGAGCTGGTAGGTAGTACTAACCTTGAATCACTGCTAGGAAACGCTACCATCAGGACTTCAGCGAACCTGTGAAGTCACCTGGCCTTACTTCACTGACTCCGTCGTGTCATCTCAACGATCGCAGCCTCAACCGTAATCTTGCTCATCTGAGTGAGGTGAATTCTGTACCTGAAAGCGAGGAAGGCCGGCAGACCCTAGTCGGGTTGAACGGGCACACCCATCTGAGAGGGGTGTTCCCAGAAACCCCTGTATGCTCTGATCCATCGTGTGGTCTCAACGATCGCAGCCCCAACCCTAATCTTGCTTATCTGAGAGAGTTGCATTCGCTACGTGAGAGCGAGGAAGGCCGGAGCACCCTAGTCCGGTTGAACGGGCACACCCATCCGAGAGGGGTGTTCCCAGAAACCCCTGTGTACTCTCATCCAGAGCAGTACCCATATAAGCAGGAGGAGGATCTCAAAGTCAAAGAGCGATTCGCGACTATCAACGGACGTGTAATCGACAGGCACGACATCAATATCGAGATATCAAAATACCTTGACCCTCGCAGAGAGGTTGGCTTTTTTGAATTCAGATACACGCTCAAATTCCCAGAAGATAACCAATCCTACCACACCAGGATGTCCCTTGCGCAAACCGAGTTCGCTGCTCGTCTGGAAGTCGAAGAAGTGGAGCCCGGCCCAGATGGTATAAAGGCCTTGCGAGTGACAGTTATTTACCCCGTTGCAAGCGAATGTCCCCTGCCCACCGAGATGTCGGGCCTGGACCGAGAGGCCGTATGGGACACATTCTTCTGCCAGATGTCACTTTACCACCGGGCCAGTGCCTCTACCCTTGGTAGTGGTACCATCAATACTAACCAGCCACCGACCGAAACAAGGGAAGACGGCATAAACATCAGTAGAGTTTGGAGAAATAGGAGAGGTTGGGGAGATGTCCAAAGCGATCAAGACATCACACTTTCTCTTCTGCAGCAGCTGCACAAGTTGTACGATTTTTTTGAGTTTGACAAGCATACTACTGCCAATCGAGGTCTCGGGTATTATAGCAGAGTGTCCAAACGCCCTTATGATCTCGATGGCGGTAATTGGGCGCCTTACTTCAACCCCAAGAGTTTCAGACACTTTCTTGTTGGCAGATTGTTCACTACTCTATATAACTTCCTCGCCCAGCTCCACCGTCTCCAGCAGAGCATGAAGAAAGGCGGGATTGTGCTTAGAGCTCCTATCGACGCGCACTGGGTCTCGAAAATGATGCTAGATGCCTGCAGAGCCTGGGATGATCTTTGCTGGATCGAGGACTGCTTTAGCCCTACGGACGTTTCGAAGGGCAAGCCGAACTGTCTAAGGCCAACGATTAACCACCCTGAAGCATCTCCATCAGCAGCTGGCGCACCTGGCAACTGGATTCGGAGGCTTTCAGAATCGGCCCCAGAGTGCGATTGTCCACTTGCCTCACCTGTTGTAGGCACTACTCATACTGAGGGACCAAGCGAGTGTGAACCAAAAGCCAAAGACGGTCTTCTACAGAACCCGCAAATAGGCATTCCCCTTTTAGAGGATCCATTGTCAAAAGTTAGGCTTCAGGTTAGTACAAATTAGAACTATCCAAATATAGCGAGCATAGCTGACCTGGGCTTCAAAGGTTGGACCTGCGGCTTCGTTTAAAGACGACGTCAACGAGCATCATGAGATAGAGGCATCCAGTTTTTCAGTCAAGGATGAAGAAAAGGGTACCGAAGGTACTACACCAAAACCTATCAACGTCAGTAAGATCGAAGATGAGCAGTCTGACAAAGAGCAAAACTTAGCCTATCCAACATTCGATATTGCTAAACGACACTCCGCTCCTGAATGCTTTGAAGCACCCTCCGACAGCATGTCGAGAAATAACCACGCGCATGCGCAGTCTTTCAACCTGAACGAGGAAACCCAGCCCAAGCAAGGCATGATGTCTATCAACAAAGATCCAGAGGCCAAAAAGTGCCTTGATGCTGTGGAAAAGAGGATTATTGCTACCGATAAGGTTAAGATGGATGTATTTGAAGCTTCTTTCAAATGGGCAAGCTCGAACAAAAAAACCAAGAATCCTAAGTCTTCTGCTCATAGCGACTATCCGGACAGTGTATCCTCCGCTGCTCCTAGCCCTTCGGCAGGTGAACCTGTCAGCACCTATGGACCATTCGAGTCCGCGGGATATGCTAAACTGCCCTCCCCTTGTGGCTCCTTCGAAAACGAGAGCTATATTACGCGACTCTGCCACAATGAAGACAATGCTGTCCATGTAGATGAGAAGCAGAACAAGACCAAGCTTTTGTCCAAGGTCTTCAAGAAAGGCGGAGCGAAGTAAGGAAGGGGACAGGGTATTTTTCGGGTGCCCTCGAGGCCTAATGGGGGTGGGGGTAGTCTTTTTCCATTTCATTTTGTTTCTACCAATATTTTTTTATTTTCATTCAGAGATTGCAGTACTCCTCAAGTTTACTTTTTGTTCCCAACTCTGCTACACCTTGAGGTTCACCATTCGATTTCTTCAACGATATTTGTTTACTGTTTGATTTGAAATCTGTCTTTCTTGATCCTGTGGCGTTCAAGAAGGCGGTGATTTTGCGGAGCGGAACCATTTTCAAATTGCTGCTTAATCTTCGCTGGCTTTCTGTTTGCGTATGTAGGAGATGATCTTCCCCATGGTATCTGTACTCTGAGTAACAGAGGACTTCCTTCTTCTGTTAATATATCTTCTCAGATTCTTCTGTACGATATTTTGCACAAGACTCCACAGGGAATACATCTCAGTTTTAAATGGGAGCTTCACTCACCCCAATCCAGCGTGAAATGCCCCGAAACAGGCGTGTCTCCACCATTCCGCCATTTTGCAAACCACTTTACCTACGTATCGTATTGTAGACTTCGGCCTGCATTGTGTTTCTCGCCTTATCCTCTTTATTTCACTCTACCACCGCCAATCCGACTTGAGAGAGTCTGTAACCTTTGAACACCCCCTTGGAGGTTTCCACAGTACTTGAGTAGCACACACGGTTCTCTATAGATCAAAACAGGAAAGTGAACTTTGGCAGGGTACGCGGGGAAGCCTGAGATGAGGGAGTGATATATATTGACTATTTTTTTCACTGGAAACACAGACAGAGTAGGACTAAAGTACATAAGCAAGTACCGGTATGCAACAATAAAGGCGGGGGGAAGCAGCTCATGGTGCCCAGTTGATTGCGGTTTCCATCTCGACCGCCCCAAATAAGCAGCCTACAATAAGCCCCAACCCGGCCAGACAGGACCAGTGTTTATATCCTCTTCAGTGAGCTTAGGACTAACACCTATAATTGCTTTGTCTTGCTGAGCCGCAGCAAGACAAAACAATTGTAGTCTGGTGGAGGCTCATTGTCAACGCTCAGCCTCCCCTCAGGTTGAGTAACGTTACACAAGCACTACCGTATAACTACGGCTGAAGGAAGAACTGGGGACGGCGACGTCGACCTCATCGCCAGCGTCCCCAAAACAATACCCCCTCCCCCCACC